CTGGTGGGTAATTGGAGATGAGTCTCAGGGACGTTCCTGCTTGGGCTGGCTTTGAACCACAATCCTCAGACCTCAGCCTCCTGAGTTACTAGGATTGCAGGCGTGAGCCACTAAGACCCAGCTTATGGTTTAGATTTAAGAAAACAGGAGAAAAGAGGGATTATTCAGTCATTTTATTTGGAAGTAAAATTAATTGAGGTTCCTGACCCATACTTGACACCAAAATTAATTCCAACATAATTGATAAGGATGAATTACAAAACTGGGCACTGGTGACACACACCTGTAATCCTAGCTACTCAGGAAGCTGAGACCTAAGGATGGAAGTCCTTGCTCCAATTAAACTCATCTCCAGTTCACCACCACAAAGCAGGAAGTGGAACTGTGACTCAAGTGGTAGAACACCAGCCTTGAGTGCAACAGTTAAGGGACAGTGCCCAGCCCTTGAGTTCAGGCCCCAATACCGGCACAAAATAAAACAGGGTTGGGGGGGACGGTAATTCAGCATGTCAGCTTGAGATACAAGGCATCTTGGTATAGTTGGGAGAGATGAGGGAGAATGACAAAAGGAGTGACATTGATCAAGTACCTAACTTTTGGGGCTGGGAAGGTGGCTCAGTGGTAGAGCGCTTGCCTTTCATGCATGAGGCCCTGGGTTCGATTCCTCAACACTACATAAGCAAAAAGAAAAAAGCCAGAAGTGGCGCTGTGGCTCAAGTGATAGAGCACTAGCCTTGAGCTGAAGAGCTGAGGGACAGCGCCCAGGCCCAGAGTTCAGGCCCCACGACCAGACCCAAAAAAAAAAAAAAGAAGTACCTAACTTTTAATAAGATAAATAGCTCTATCCTAAGGTACTATCCTAAGTGCTGAGCACAGTTAATTCTCCCTTAATTCTCCTGGCACCCATTTGAAGCCCTAAGTTTATATATGAGTACATGGATGCTGAGGGGTTTGTTCAAAATTTGCTAAAATCTTGAAAGGGATTCTGCCTAGATGTATCTTGTTCCTGTGGCTCTACCTCCCTTCCCTTCCCCCATAACCGGGATTTGAATTTGGGCCCTGGAGCTTGCTTGGCTTGTTTGACTTTTTTGTTTACTTGGCTGGCACTCTCCACTTGAATCAAGTCTCCAGTATAGCTTTTTTGCTGGTTGATTGGAAGTGATGTTTCACAAACTTTTATGTCTAGGCCAGTGTTGAACCTTGATCCTCCAGATCTCAGCTTCTTGAGTAGCTAGGATTCCAGGCGTGAGTCACAGGTGGGGCGGGGGGGGGGGCTCCCGGTGGCTCCCAGTTACACACTTCTGTAATCAGTTTTCAGAAATTTCATCAGTTAGATGAAGCAAAGTAAAACCATCCCATACCTCATTACACCAGCGTCCAAACCCCCTCGGACCAGAGGCTGCGTGGATATTTTAATATCATTCACAGGTTTAGATTGCGTGAAAGTCACATTGAGAAAAGCATCTAGACTCGTTGAATTTGCCTTCTCGAATTTTCTATCTCCCATGGGCCAGTGCCACTAGCACTAGAGCATCAGGCCTGTGAGGCCGCTGGCACAGTGCATGGTGCTTCTCAACTCTGTGCAAGAGAATCACCCTGAGAGCTTTAGAAATGTGCAGATGTTGGGGCTTAGGCAGGTCTGTGTAGCTTTAAAAGCTACCAGTCTTTCTAATGGTAGTCAAGTGTCGAACCCCTATCCTGGAACAGTATCTTTCGGGCTTTAGCCAGAATTTGTGTCTCTTACAAGTTCCCTGGGTATCCTGAAGCTACTGACCCCTAGGATTGTACCTCAAGAACTGTTCTACAAATGTACCGAGAAAATGTGTGGCATAGAAATATATGTATAAGCCAGGTGCTGGTGGCTCACGCCAGTAATCCTAGCCACTCAGGAGGCTGAGATCTGAGGATCATGGTTCAAAGCCAGCCCGGGCAGAAAAGTCCAATAAAAACCACTAAAAACCGGAGGTGGCACTGTGGCTCAAGTGGTAGAGCTCTTATCTTGAGCTGAAGAGCTGAAGGATAACATCCAAACCCAGAGTTCAAGCCCCACAACTGACAAAGAAGCGCCGGTCGCTCACTCCTGTAATCCTAGTTACTCGGGAAGCTGAGATCTGAGGATGGAAGTTCAAAGCTGGCCCAGGCAGGAAAATCCCTGAGACTCTTTTTTTTTTTTTTGGGGGGGGGGTCTGGTCGTGGGGCCTGAACTCTGGGTCTGGGCGCTGTCCCTCAGCTCTTCAGCTCAAGACTAGCACTCTAGGGGGGACGGGTGGGGGGGAGGCTGGGAAGGGATGTGGGATGTGAAGGGTAAACAAAGGAGGAGGCTGCAATGCTTGATAAGAAATGTACGCATTATCTTGCCCATGTAATTGTAACCCCTCTGTACAGTATGTTCACAAAAAATTAAAATTAAAAAAAAAAGACTAGCGCTGTACCACCTGAGCCATAGCGCCACTTCTGGCTTTTTTCTTTTTGCTTATGTGGTGCTGAGGAATGGAACCCAGGGCCTCAGGCATGCAAGGCAAGCGCTCTACCACTGAGCCACCTTCCCAGCCCATCCCTGAGACTCTTATCTCCAGTTAACTACCAGAAAAGTAGAAGTGGCGCTGTGGCTCAAGTGGTAGAGTGTTTGCCTTGAGCTGAAGAGCTGAGCAACAGTGCCCAGGCCCAGAATTCAAGCCCCACCACCAACAACAACAACAAAAGAGAAATATATGGGTGTATATACACAGACACACATACATATAATGGAATTTTACTCATCTGTCAGGAAATGATATTATATAATATGTAGGGAAATGAATGGATCTAGAAAAAATTATGTTAAGTGAAATAAATCAGGCTCAAAGGGACAAATGGCATGTTTTTCTCTCATGTGGAAGTCAGATCTAAATTACAAATCTATAGGAAAACATATGCAGGGTCATGTGCACACACACACACATTAAAGTGTGGTGTATGCAGAGAGGATTCCAGTAGTGTAACTTTTGAACAACTTACTTATAGCTTAACAAAATGAATTCCAGGAAACTAAAACATATTTTGTTGTGGGGGGGGAGATAAGGGGCAAGAGGGCAGATGAAAGGAGAGAGGAAAGGTAGGCGAATGCAGTCATCATATTCAGTGTGCATATGTGAAAATGAAGCCTCATAATTTGACAAGATGGATGGGGTTGGGAAAGATGGGGGAAATTGATGGATGGGAGGCATTGATCAAGATGTGCTGTCCTCATAAACTGATTTGTTGAATTGAAACCTCACCCTCTTTACAACTACTTAAAAGGTAATAAGAAAAAGGAAAAAAAGAACAGTTCTAGAGGATTGATTGTAGGGGGACCAAGTCAAAACATTTTTATATAGGACTTAAGCAGGAGATTTAGTGAGACAGGTCAGAATAAACACGGATCACTCAGGCAGTGCAGGCCTTAGGTGCAGTCTTCCGAACACCCAGGAGAGGGCCCGGCCCATTAAGCTACATGCTTTCAATGTTTCTATAGACAGTGGCATGTCATCCTTTAAATCTCCTGATCTTTGCTCACTTGGGCCTTCCTTAAACAGTTGGGCCTATGACCAATGTGTCCCCTCTAGGAAAGATGTTCCCATTACTCAGGACCTGAGGCCATGTTCACACCTCCTCCAGCCATAGTACGGGCAGAATCGCCACTCTCCCTGTGCAGATCTTTTCTTTTATCATCTGCCCTTTTGCAGACCAGCAGATCTGGCAACAGGAGCTTTGACAGTCCTCCCTCTCTCCCTCCTTCCCTCCCTCCTTCCCTCCCTCTCTTCCTCCCTTCCTCCCTTCCTTCCTTCCCTCCTTTCTCCTTCTCTCCTTCCCTCCTTCCCTCCCCCTCCCTTCCCTCCCTCTCTCCCTTCCCTCCCTCTCTCCCTTCCCCCCTCTTTTCTTTCTTCCTTCCTTCATTCCTTCCTTCCTTTCTTTTTTCTGGGTATTATTTGAAGGATCGAAGTTCTTAGTTCATTTGTAGTTATAGCTGATGAAGAAATTATCAGCCAGGCACTGGTGGCTCAAGGCTTTTAAATCCTAGCTACTTAGGAGGATGAGATCTGATATTGTGGTTCAAAGCCAGCCCAAGTAGATAAATCCAAAAGACTCTTTATTTTCAGTTAATCAGCCAAAAAGTGGAAGTGGAGGCCGAGCACTGGTGGCTCACGCCTGTAAACCTAGCTACTCAGGAGGCTGAGATCCAGGGATCGCAGTTCAAAGCCAGCCCAGGCAGGAAAGTCCATGAGACTCTTATCTCCAATAAACCACTAGAAAACCAGAAGTGGTGCTGTGGCTCAAGCGGTAGAGCATTCGTCTTGAGCTGAAGAGCTCAGGGACAGCCCCAGGCCCAGAGTTCAAGCCCCACGACCAACAAAAAACCAGTGGAAGTGAAGGCATGGCTCAAGTGGCAGAGTGCGTCCTTGAATGAAAAAGCTGAAGGTTAGCACCCAGACACTGAGTTCAAGCCCTAGTACTATCACACATTAAAAAAAGAAAGAAAGAAAGAAAAGAACCCAGCACTAGTAACTCACGCCTGTAATCCCAGCTACTCAGGAGGCTGAGATCTGAGGATAGCAGTTCAAAGCCAGCCCAAGCAGGAAAGCCCTTGAGACTCTTTTATCTCCAATAAACCACCAGAAAACAGGAAGTGGCACTGTGGCTCAAAGTGGTAGAGCATTAGCTTGAGCAAAAAAGCTCAGGGACAGCACCCAGGCCCTGAGGTCAAGCCCCACAAACCCCTCCAAAAAAGAAAAATCAGATAGATGAGTAAATATGTTTCCTTTGTCTACAGCTGCAATTGCTAAGATTGTAACTAGGAAAAATTAATATAAAGCTATTAGATACTAATGGGTAAACATGGTAAGGGCCGTTCACCTCAGATCTTTAGAGTAACATCCATCTCATACTTGTTCCTTTCATTCCATTGATTTTATGTATTTGACATTGTTGGGAAAAGAGCTGTTCAAGGTTCACAAATGGTGTTTTTTCTCTCCTTCTATTAGGTCGCTTTGCAATGCAATCAACGTTTACAACCTCACCTGCAGTAACTGTTCAGAAAACTGCACCGACGTTCTGTTCAGTAATAAGATGACCTTCTTAATGGACCTCCTGATGCACCAGCTGACGGTATGTGGTATGGCTGCTCTGGTTAGAAGCAGGGATGGCTTGAGAAGCAGTCCTCGTCGCCAACGCTGAGAGAATTCAGCCCATTTACTCTTTCAGACTGAAGAAAAGAAAAACAAGTCATAAAGATGATTTAGGGTATCAATAGGGAGAGGTAGCAAAATCTCTTTAAGTATTTGAACATGTTGTATTACATTTCAGGTTCCAGTAGCGAATGGGTGGTAGACGGGTGACACTTGCTAAGAACACAAATTTGTATAGTCAGACTTGGCTTTGGAACCAAGTGATACCAGCCACTAAGCCTCTGAAGCCACAGGAATGGCTGGGGTCAGAGGACGAAAAAGTGGAGAACTCAGTCAGATTGTTACACCACAAGTAAAGGGCTGCATTATAAAGGGCTTCCTTTTTTTTTTTTTTTCTTTTGCCAGTCCTAGGGCTTGAACTCAGGCCCTGGGCACTGTCCCTGAGCTGCTTTTGCTCAAGGCTAGTGCTCTACCACTTTAGCTACAGCATCACTTCCAGCTTTTTCTGAAGAATTGAACCCAGGGCTTCATACGTACTAGGCAAGCACTCTACCACTACACCACCTTCCCAGCTCCAGATTTTTTTAATTAAAAAATAAATAAATTACTTTGTCAGAAAGAAGCCACCTCTGGACTTCTGCACTGGGGACAATGAGCCACTTGTCACCTTAATTTTTACTTCAGTGCATAGATGTTGACAGGAAAGCTGGTAAAGCAGTCAAAGATTTAGCTTTGCAAATGCAGTGTTCAGAACAGAGCCAGGGCCACACGTTTCCTGGGAAGGCTTCTGAGCCCCCAAAGTACTTACCGAAAATCCCTCTCGAGCTGCAGGTTTACAACACAGCAGATTTCTTTTTTGGAGCTGAATTACTTTTAATCAGTACACAGTCCTACTAGTTCTTCCTTATACTCTCTACTTGTATTTTCTTTCTTCCCCAAGTGGGTTTATTTCTACACATTTTGGAGCCTTAACTGAGGCATAATAGCACCCTCTTCATTATTCAAATCTTTTTTTTTATTTTTTTTGTCGATCATGGGGCTTGAACTCTGGGCCTGGGCGCTGTCTCTCAGCCCTTCAGCTCAAGGCGAGTGCTCTACCACTTGAGCTACAGTGCCACTTCCGGTTTTCTGGTGGTTTATTGGAGATAGGAGTCTCATGGTCTTTCCTGCACAGGCTGGCTTTGTACTGCGATCCTCAGATCTCAACCTCCTGAGTAGCTAGGATTACAGGCGTGAGCTACCAGCCCCCAGCTATTCAAATCTTCTTTAACTTGGCCCTTTCCATAATTCTAAGAATGTGTGTGAGTGTGCACAAGTGCATGTGCATGCTAAAATAGGAACTCAAAATCAGGGCTTCAGCCAGGCACTGAGGGCTCACACCTATAATCCTAGCTACTCGGGAGGCTAAGATCTGAGGATCTTAGTTTGAAACCAGTCTGGGCAGAAAAGTCCCCATGAGACCCTTACCTCTAATTAGCCACTTAAAAACTGGATGTGACACTGTGGCTCAAGTGGTAGAGTGGCAGCCTCAAGCACAGAGGCTCAGGAACAGTGCCCTGACCCTGAGTTCAAGCGTGACAACAACAAATGATGATGATGATGATGATGATAAAGAAATCAGAGCTTCACATTATCACTTGGCTTTTGTAGTCAAGGCCGGTGTCCTGCCACTTGAGCCACAGCTCCACTTGTAGCTTTTTGCTGGTCAATTAGAGATAAGAGTCTCATAGATTTTCCTGCCTGGGCTGGCTTCTAACTTCAATCCTCAGATCTCTGGCTCATAAGTAGCTAGGATGTCAGACGTGAGCCACCTGTGCCCAGCCAAGAATACTTTTTTATGTGATCCTAGACATTGCTTCTCTTCTAGAACTAATCACAACCAAATTATATTGTAATTATTTACTTGTCTCTGTCCCCCATTCGCCCAAAACCAATTAAGACAGCAGGTTGTAACCTATCACTATCTCCAAGATCCTATCCCAGGACCTGGCACTGAGTAAATTCAGTACACCATTTGAATGAATGCCTGAGGGAATGAAGTTAATCCCTGCATGTCACTAGGAGGAAATCTGAAATGATGAGGAAGCCCGCAAAGACAGGTATACTGTGTGACAGTGAGGGATGTTGACCGCAGGGTAGGAGATACCCCAAGATTTAATCTAGAGCTGTTCCACAGCTGCTTACAGAGAACCCAGAGAGTCAACAGGTGTTGTACTATCCAGAGTTTTCCCTTGCTAGGTAAGTCATTAAAATATGAGCAAGGAGGTTGGAGGCGTGCTAGCCAATAAGCAGAAATGTCAGGTACAGAGTTCGAGTTCCTGTCTCAGATCTGAAAAAAAAAATCAAAATTAAATATGAATAAAGCATTTTAGCAAAAACAAAAAAATCGGGGCTGGGAAGGTGGCTCAGTGGTAGAGCACTTGCCTTGCATGCCTGAGGCCCTGGGTTCGATTCCTCAGCACCACATAAGCAAAAAGAAAAAAGCCGGAAGTGGCGCTGTGGCTCAAGTGGTAGAGCGCTAGCCTTGAGATGAAGAGCTGAGGGACAGCGCTCAGGCCGAGTTCAGGCCCCACGACCAGACCTTCCCTCCCCCCCCCCCCAAAAAAAAACCTTCAGAAATAGGAGAGAAAAGACAATATTTGTTGTCTGGCCTTCTGTCTTGGGTGTTTTAATATATGTTGCCTCATTTTATTTTCATAAAAGCTTCATGAGGTTATTATTACCCTATTTCACAGACAAGGAAACTCAAGTCAGCCCTAAGAGATTAACTTCTCAGTAGGTTGGCATCTTTACATGGATGTCAGTCACAAAGCCAGGAGCCAAACCTGAGTCAAGGGACCATCTATTTCATACAATAATGGAATGACATTTTTTTAAGTGCCAGGGAAAACTGAGGACTGTCATCGTGTGAAGACTATGTCAGTAAAACAGCTTAATTGTAGTGGGTGACCCTGAGCCAGGAAACCTGTATTAGCAGGAAACTGGAAGTGTATGCAAGGTCTATAGAGAAGTTCAATTGATTGACTCACTGTTAATTTCCTCTTTTCAATACTTGTAGTGTGGTTTTGTAAGATATGAATGGTAAGGATTATGATGGTAGATACCACGCTACTATTTTATAAAGATAATTGTTGATTTAAAATTATTACCAAATAAGAATAAAAAGCCACACAACAACAACAAAATCCCCTGCCTTCTTGCTGTTCTGTCCTGCCTTGTCTGGAAGAATTTACCCTATGAAACCTACTCTGTCTTGAGAAAACATTCCTCCCAACGTGGCAGGTAACTAGCGAGGATGGGAATGGCATTCCAAACGTGGGGAGATGGCCAAGGTGACCCCCAGGCTTCCTTCTGGCTCTGTACTTTTTTACTCAGAGAGAAAGAGAAGTTGAAAGGGGTAGGAAGGAAGAGAAAAAATGGTTGTGACTGAGAGAAATTGACTCTTTCACTTAAAATGACTCCAGTTCAGAGAAGCCCAACGTGTAACCCCAGCCTTCTAGGAAATCCCTGCGTAGACACAGAACAGATACACAGAGGACTCCCCTTAATTTAGGATGCTATAACAAAACAGCATAGACTGCATAGCTTATGCACAAGAGAAAGTTGTTTGTTTGTTTGTTTTTCCCTCACACTTGTGAAGCCTGTGTCACACGCTGCCTGCTGGCTCCTTAGAGAGTCGTCCCTGGCCTTTGCTGTTTGTTTTTGCCAGTCCTGGCACTTGAACTCAGGGCCTGGGCACTGTCCCTGAACTGCTTTTTGCTCAAGGCTAGCACTCTACCACTTGAGCCACAGTACCACTTCTGGCTTTTTTGGTGTATTTGGTACTGAGGAAACGAACCCAGGGCTTCATGCATGCTAAGAGAGCACTACCACTAAGATACATTCCCAGCCCCTCATTGGCTTTTTCTCCCCATTATGACTGGATCACCTCCCAAGTAATCTTCCAGACCATCACTTGGGAGATTAAATGTCATCATTTGAATGTCGGGGGACACAGCGCTCGGTACGTGGTGCATGGGGCGCATGGGGTGCATGGCACATGGATAAATGGTCTGATGATCTGTGCTGAGCACCATGGCCGTGGGCAGCACAGTGTGCAGTAAGATTTGCCCGACTCATTAGCAAGGAAAGATTTGTGAGCTAGCTCTCCGCCTCTCATGCTAGCTGGTATTTACAGAGTGCCAGCTCTGTGCCAGGAGCTTAAGTATCTTATTTCCCCGCTTCTTTAACAACCCTACTTTGCTTTGAATGATACCCCTGGCTTGCCATCTCCAGCTCCCTGACATCCAGAAAAGCTTTTAATCCCTCAGTCAGTGGATCCCACCAGGTTGTGTGTTTACGCGGTTCTGTTCATTTTGCTCCATTCGGAGCTGGGATCCAGGCGCGTTGTTTGCCATCCTCGGCGTCCACGTGGCACTTCCTGGTGGGTTCTTCCCTCTCTTGTAGCTGGCAGTCATACTGCTGCTCTGCCCGGGCCTGTGGCAGCACGGGAAGAGGATGTGTCTCCTGCTTGGGAGTGACAGGTGATGATGGTTTTCCTGTTTGTGGAGATCACTTGGGTGTGTTTCCATTGTTCTCACTATCTGGGTTTAAATAGCCATGCAACTGAAATATGGATCACTAACTTGGAGTATTAACTTGAAATGAAGAGTAAAAAAAATTAGTCATCAACACATTTTTCTCAGAAGGAATTTTATTTATTTTTTTATTGTAACAGTTACATGAGCAAGGTAATGAGTACACTTCCTATTGAGCATTGTTACCCCTTCCATTGTTTTCCCCCTACCATCCCTTCCCTCCCTCCCTTCCCTGAGGTTCTTTTTTTTTTTTAAATTGTGATTAAGTGATTACATAATTTCCCAAATTTCACAGTATTGTGGAATAATGATGCTCATTTAAAGTCACAAGCTCATTCTAACTTTCCTGGAGCAAATTGTCTGTCACGGTCTATAACATATAACGGTGTTCACATGTTATACA